AATATTTATATTAAGCATGGATGCATTAAAATCATTAAAATTACAGTAACATTTATAATGTTAAGATTTATAATAAGCATTTAATAAGATTAATAACAAGATTTCTGCAATAATCTTGTGACACTGAAGACTGGAGTAAAATATATTAAATAGAAAACAGATATTTGAAATTTTACTGTGCAGTATTTTGCTAAAATAAATGTAGTCTTTGCAAGCATAAGAGACTTTTCAAAAACATTTAAAAAATCGTACCATCCCAAAACCTTTCACTGATAGTAGTATGTCCATGCATAATAATTCAATTTCCTGGATCTAGTATGACCAGAGATTATGTCATGCCTTGAACAATATTTGCATCTTTAAGATGCCAATATTTTGTAATGCTTGCATTGTTTGTTTAGCTGGTATTACTTTCTCAAATATCTTTTGAAATATATATGAAACATTCATGCTCACAACTTTGTGATATTTGTGAGTATGAATGTCAGCACGTCATGCCATTGAGGAAAACTGTAGAGGTTGCATAGAGGGTATCTAGAAATTGATTGTTGTGCACCACCAAGGGGGAAAACAGGGTCACTACAAACCACTGTGCTAAAAGCTCTGCAAAATGCTACAATATTCTCAGATCTTACTGGCATTTTGAAACAACCGAAAATAGAAAATCACATCTAATGGGTTTTAACAAACAAACTTTGCAGAGCTGTCAATACAAAAAGAAAAAATGTGTGGAAATCCATTAGAACACACAGTGGATAGAATCATTATCCAAGATAGAGATTCATAATGAAATATATAATTGTACATTTTGCTTGCTTTTACTTTGGAAACAACGCTGCTTTGAGTACCATTAATTGAGTCCATAACAAAAACTATATAAGCAGTTTCCAAACTCAACTAAAAAGTGAGAGCAATCCATAAATATGCTGGCAAAGGTTAAGTCAGACAGAGAGTGTCAGAGAGCCCCGGAGCGCTTGGTGACATTAAGTTTTGCCAGACCAAGACATGCTAATGGAAGTGAGACTTTTGCACAGGGATGTGGTTTAAGATCAACACAGCCAATCAGCCGTAACTTAGTGCACTCTTACCTGTATGTCTCCATCTGGCACAAAATGTAAAAAAAGCCTTTGACATAAGATAAATGAAGGTGGCACAAGCAGAGGCGTGCATTGCCAAAGCAACAGTTTGTGAATAATGGAGAGCTGATTCCCTCTTTTAAATAATTAAGCAGCACAACACTTACTATCTGCAGCTTTGTCTTATCTAATACTAACTTTCATGCTTGGCATTTGGCCTGCACATGC